AGGGGAAGACCAGGCCCCCTTTCCTTTCTACCTCCGCATCAACAGCCCTCCTTCTCCTTCACCTAGATCCTCCTCCACAGCACCCTGCCAGTGGCCCAGCTCCTCGATTTGAGAATCATGCCACTTACTGGATTGGAGGCTGGGGAGTCAATAGGAAAAGAAGGGGGGAGAAGCAGGGTGCAGAAGAGATTCATAGACCCTCACTGGCTAGAGCTGCACAAAACAGTGCTCTGAAACTAAAAGGAATGTGTGAGGGAATTTCCACTCTTATCCATTCAGGAAAATCAATTTTACCCAGGAAGCAACAAGGGGAGATATATGTTCTCCTCCCAGAGGAATTCCTGGCTTACAGAAGATAGTATTTCAGTAGCAGGGGTCATCTTGACCAAGCACAGGGCTAAGGGTAAACCACATGCCTGGGGTTTATGCCAAGTTCTGCCACAGACTTGCTAAATGACCTTTGGTGAGTCACTTCACTTCTCTACACCCTGCTCACCCTGTCTATACCAGTGGGAAAAGCGGGAATGGCTTTGTAAATCCTTTGAGATCTACGAGTGTGAGGCCCCACAGTTTCAGTGTTGTCACTGTGGTGCTACTGCCTGCAGTGCTGGCCAGCTTATCAAGTATGGGAAAGGCCAAGACCATTGGGAAGATGTACCCTGTGCGTTAGAGTAGAAACTAGCTTGCTGTGGGCCCACACTGTGCATGCAAGATGCTGACCTGACAGTCTTTTTCATACTGTTTAGCCTCTTATAATTTATATATAGCACAGTGACAATGAAGGCAAGCTCCACAAAAGTATTTAGGCCCCTTATCTCCTACACTGATTGAATGGGTGTTAGGCACCCAAATAGGAGTTAGACATCTAAATACGCTTGTTTGCCCCCTAGCTTTTATGCAGTGGTTTTCATCCAGGCATCTTAAATCTCTTCAAAAGGACGGCACCATCATCATCCCTCTTTTACACATAGGGTGCTGACAGAACTGACATTTGTCACATGATTGACCCCTTGAAAGCACTCTACAGTCAGGCCCCCGATGGAAGTGCATGGCTGCGGAGAGCTTTAGACGTACCCGACTGCATGATAAATTAATCCTCATGTAATGAAGGGTGCGTTCATTAACTTCTGTCTGATTGGGGCTGGGGTGCCCAGTGCTGTCTGCAGGATGGGAGGGGAGAGAAGGGAAGGGAGGGAGTTCTGGGCTGGGGTTTACTCAGCCTGCACTGGAGGGGTGGGATGGGTGGATTGGAGCGTCCCCACCCCAAGGAAGAGGGTTCCAATCCACCCACCCTCCTCCAGCACAGGCTGGGCAAAACAGTAACTACAATGATTAGCAGGAGCAGATGTGCCATAATATACAGAAGGCATGGTAAGTATGCACCTGTATACCTCCATATACCTTCAGACTGACATTTAACACTGAAAAATGCAAGGTTCTCCACCTTGGAAAGAAAAACCTCAGCAGCAGCATCATTTATAGGCTTGGCAGTGCTATGCTGGCTAGCACTATGGAAGAAAGAGACGTGGAGGTCATCATTGACCACAAGATGAACATGAGCCTTCAATGCGATGCTGTGGCTCGTAAAGGGACCAAAACGCTGGCTTGCATCCATAGATGCTTCTCAAGCAAATCCCGGGACATCATTCTCCCCCTGTACTTGGCCTTGGTGAGGCCGCAGCTGGAGTACTGCGTCCAGTTTTGGGCTCCACAATTCAAAAAGGATGTGGAGAAACTGGAGAGAGTGCAGAGAAGAGCCACGTGCATGATCAGAGGTCAGGAAAACAGACCTTACGACGACAGGCTGAGCGCCACGGGGCTCCTTAGCCTGGAAAAGCGCAAGCTCAGGGGTGATCTGATGGCCACCTATAAGCTTATCAGGGGTGACCACCAGGATCTGGGGGAACGTTTGTTCACCAGAGCGCCCCAAGGGATGACGAGGTCGAACAGTCACAAAGTACTGCGAGACCGTTTCAGGCTGGACATAAGGAAGAATTTCTTTACTGTCCGAGCCCCCAAGGTCTGGAACAGCCTGCCATCGGAGGTGGTTCAAGCACGTACATTGAACACCTTCAAGAGCAAATTGGATGCTTATCTTGCTGGGATCCTATGACCCCAGCTGACTTCCTGCCCTTTGGGCGGGGGGCTGGACTCGAAGATCTTCTGAGGTCCCTTCCAGCCCTAATGTCTATGAAATCTATTAAATCAATGTTTACAATACATGGAAAGGCAGAACCATACTTCAGTAGGAACAGGGAGCTCTAGTGGTTTGGAGTCCTGGGATAGAAGCAGCAATGGCAACACACTGAATTATTTAAGATTAATTCCTGTTTTGCTGTAATTTGGCCGTAGGGTCTGGTCTCTTTTCAAGCAGCCTCCATTGTCACATTCAAAGGGAAGTTTTGCTTAAAATGCCTTTGGATATCCCAGCCCATAGTTTGTAATGGAGCTTCTTGTAGCTTATTCCCAGGAAGCTTACTGGCCTGGCATGTTTCCAGCTCCCTTGTGACCTTGTGGCTTGAAAAGCAAGTTTAATAGTTCAGTGTCCAGCTTCTCACCTCTCACCCTTTCCCCACTCCACCGTGACTCACTGTGGACAACCTGGCCCACAAGGAGGGGTGCTTGTGATCTTCCAGATGCAGCTGCCAGGCTGAGATGCCCCCGTCCCCGGAACACCACCCTCTGCAGAGCTGACGCATGCGGCTCCAGCCAGGCAGTTAGGATGTGACCTTTTCCTCTTGACAGGGACAGGGCGTTGTGGAGTCCCAGTGCTTAATCAGAGCTCCCAAAGCAGCATCTTATTTCATCTCGTAGAAAGCGTAGAGGTCCCCTGGAAGCCCAGATCCTGGGCTGGAACAGGAAAAGCAGGGAGCGGGGAGGGATGTGAAACAGAACCCCAGCCCGTCTGCCTGTGCAGGCACTCAGATCCACAGCTTATCTGCCTCCTCCAAGTGTTTGGCCTTGTAGCTTAACATCAGGGTAAGAATTCAGAAGAGCACAGCAGGGAGCTCTGAGGGAAGTTTATGCAGAGGCTTTGTGCCTGTGGGAAATCTTACTGGAAATTTCCAAGTAGAAAAGTCCAGATCTGAGGGGGGTTGGGTGATGATGATGATAATAATAATGAATGTTTGGAGATCAGTTTAGCTTATAAGGTGTGCCTCTACCTTGCCTTCTGCCTGGTTTCAGGCTAACTTGGATAACTACACGGAAGCAACACAGAAGTAAAGTGTCAAATCAAAGGCTAAGTATCTCATGTTCAGCATCCCAGTGACACTGCTGGTGTTGATCATGATCAATCAGCATTGAGTTTGGGGGGTAGGGGGAGCCAGTTTGGCTTGTTTCTTTGCTGGCTGGCTTTTCCAGGGATAGGCTGGGAAGAGAGCAGGCAAGCAGGGAGAAAGAAAACCCTTTTAATTCATGAACAGGTTGTTTCTATCCCAGTCCCCTTGACTCAGTTTTTTTCCTGACTACAAGTTTTGACAAGACCAGTCTACATACAGGCTGATGTGGAACACACTCACAGGGTCCCACTTGCTGTGGGTGGCGGCAAGGAGATGGGGTCACTGTACGATTCCTCCCTGTGGATCTTCTTCCAGCCAAATCAGCCTCTGGCTCTGCAGCAGCTCAGCGCCCCCCTCTGGAAAAAGCACGGGCACAAGTGACATTTCCAGAGCCTACCGGGCTCATCCCCATTTTCCCCTATTCATTTGCTTTGCTTACCAGACTGGGGGCAGAGGTTCTCCCATCATCTAAACAAACCTTGCCAAGTTATTTCACAGCCGATACACAACACCTGCTGTGCAGAGCTGGCAAGGGTGCTCATGGGCCTGTTTTGACCCTGGGGGGGGGGGCGGGCGGGGGAAATGACTGTGACTCCTTAGAAATGGCTTGGTGGTTTCCCTTTGCTATTCTCTGCCTATGAATAGCATGGGGAGGGGGGCATGGGGACGGGGACAGGGAGGCATAACACACAAACATTTCTGGACAGTTCCCTTTTGCAAAGGGCAGTTTCTAAATATACACCCACTGAATGTGAGGAGTCCCACAGGAACACTGTGCGGGGTGGGGGGATAAAAAATTCGTAATGTGCCCAGCTGAGACCCACAGAAGTGTGTGTGTGTGTGTGGGGGGGGCAGATGGGCTTCCCAAATGGGGTGCCCTCAAGCCAGCTGCCCCCCTGCTCACCTCTGGCCTGTTGGGAGTACAGCTCCCCCCCTCCAGAACAGCTCTGAGCCCTGCCACTGCTTCTGAGGGGGCTCCAGGGCTTCCATCGGGGCCGGGGGATTTTCAGTAGGGCTTGAGGGCTTCAGTGGGGCTCCAGGATTTTCCCGAGGGGGTGAGGGCTTCCAGTGGGGCTCGGAGGCTTCCAGTGAGGTTGGGGGATTTTCACTAGGGTGTGGGGGCTCCCAGTGGGGATTTTCTACGGGGCTCCAGGGCTTCCAGTGGGCTCGGAGGCTCGCACTGCGGCTCGGGGGTTGCCAGTGGGGCGTGGGGGGGAGGGTGTGACAGCCCTGGGGACCCTCGGGCGTGTCCCGCGGAGTCAGCGCCGGCGGCCCCTTCCCCTCGAGCATCTCCCTTTCCTCTGCGGCCCCCGCCCGCCTTTCCTCCTCCCCGCCCGGGGGGAGCCGGGCCCGGGGGGTGTGTGGCTGCGAGGGCGGGCAGCCGCGGCCCTTCCTTCCGCCCTCCCTCCCTCTCCGGGAGCCCTTATAAAGGCTGGGGCGCGGGGCGCGGTTGCCCGCGGCCGTCCGG